TATCCTCAAGTGGGCAAAGCCTTCCTCATTATAAATACATTGTCTGCCTATCCCCAGGTTGCCATGAGATCATCAACAACAAAGATATTGCTCTGCAAGCATACAACTGAACTCCACACAACACACATATTTTGCCTAATTTTAAAACCTTTATTAAAAAAATCTGCTCTTTGTGAGAAGGTTTCTAAAATACAACATAGGAATTTCCCGCGGGACAACAACTTACAATATGTGCTTAGTAAGTTCACTCAACTCCGATGTGTTCCATGTTGGTTTCCGTGAATCTTCTGCTCTATTTACGCTGGAAATAACTCACAACCTTATCCTGGATGTTACTTCTTAGAGGTTTTTTCAGGAGGCATAGACTCTTGCTCTTTGTGCTCTTGAAGACACTGGGCTTGTATTGTAGTTCTGCTATAAACCACCCTTTGTGGTATTCATGTGTCTTCACAAACAGAGAGCGGGAGAGAGGGGAGGAAGGGAGGGAGAGAGAGGCAGAGAGAGGAAACAGATTCTCAAGACCTGGACGAGCCGTGGGAAAAGAGGGGTCTTGCAGAGGAAAAGCAAGACATGTCTCAGGACATTCCTTTGTGATTACACAGCACAGACAAATCCAGACATTATTGTTGTTATTCTGTGTCTTAAGGCCCGAGTTAAAGTCAATTTCATGAGAGTGTACTGATGAACTTCTCCATGTCCTTATTGTTGTTGTGAGACGCTGACACGCTGTATGTTTTGTGACGTTTGTTTTGGAAAAAGGGGTCCAAACTTGTAAGAAAAGTCACTACCAATTTGTAATGATTATGCTTCATTCATAGTTCTGTGCATCATTCAAATGTGATTTTACTCCATCCTGTACAGCTGCAATAAACCGCTCAAAGGGGCAGGTAGATAGACATCTCATATCCACACCACATAAACAAGAGGATTCAAGTAAGAGGAGGGCATTGTCTGCAAATCTCAGGTTACAAGCCCATGATCTTAGCTGCAAGAGTTAGCTGCCCCCAATGGAAAAAAGCATGTTCCTCCCTGGACACAGCTAGCATGAATGAGAAACGGCTCTGAGGAATGCTCCATTATCATCCTATCAGCAGCACTGGGGGAGGAGAGCTTGTAGTTGCTCTTCAACAAAATCATGTGTCTAAAGAAAGAAAGGGGGGGCAGCGGCATTGGCCTAGAGACCCGCAATTGGTTTGAGCATCCTCCTCCCCAACTCACCAGACCTTGCACTTCCTCATTTGTCTAGGTCGTGCGTCCTTTTTGTCAGTAATTAATCTGCAGCACCGCCCTCCTATATTTATCCTTTTCACTCTCAGTTTCTCCTTCACCTCTTGTTCTGTTAGCCTTGGCTAGATTTACACTTGGTTTGATCACTGTTCACTGTTGTATACATGTGACTAATAATGGATCGCTAGGCATTTTAAGTACGCTTTAGCAGGCAGGATGAGTGTCTTGTTGACCTTCACAGTGTTATGCATCTGCTGTGGAACAATGCTCCGTCTTCGCTCCAAACTGACCTTTCTGAGCCCTTACACACGTAACATGACTTCATTGGTTACAGTTTTAGATGGGAAATTAATTTGACTCACAAACACACCTACAATATCTGCAACATGAAATCAAAATTTCAAAAAAGTATATGTGAGGGATTATCTTTGATCACTGCTTTCCAATGTCTACACAATTAGATGGGAGTTAAAGAATGCAAATCAAATGAAAGCTGCTAATCCAGGATTTACTGTGATGACTGGATCTACAAGGCATTTCAAAACAATTATTCAAATCAATCTAATTAAACCTGTTGAAATTGGCTTTAATTGCCTCCCTGACTAAACAAACATCAAGTTCTGGCAAGCAACTAATAATGCAGCTCAATTGCCTCTTCCAGGGATGTGGAGGTGGAAAGTGTGAGCTACAGCTCCCCTTAGTGGCTATAAGATTTCTCTAGCTTTCATAATGACGTCAGTGTCTATATGTCAATATATGCATTTGTTACAAATGGACATAGATTCTGATGATCATCAACAGCAACATAAACAAATACCACTAATAACATTTCAGAGCTGTTTGTTCTTGTATGTTTTTCTTATTCAATCTGAACCTGCTTAAACTGAAATGATGTCAACCACAAGATAACCAGTAGAACTAAGGAATCAATTGGTACCAAACCTATATGTAACCATGTCATGTTAGCTTGTTGTGAAGAATGCTAAATAGTGATCTGTAGTCTGGCTAATTTCTGGGGAGTGAAAACCTGAAATCCATTGACCTCTCGTCTCAAGATATCTCAATAATAATGAGTTGGATGGATACCCACAAGCGTCGTCTAAACAAACAAGCCCATATAATGCTAATCAAAAGCAGTCAGGAGCAAAAACATGCGTTTTTTTGCATGCAGCATAAATGTGTTATTTTTCCCTATTCTAAATGTGTATTTCAATATCCTGCATGCACCAAATATGTTGAATTGCTGCAACACCTTATGAGACATAATTAAGCATGGGGATGATACGTAAATCATAATGTTCTAAGTCCTTATTAACTCAACTTTGAATATGCACCTAACCAGAATACAATTACAGATATATGACCTGAAAATGTCACATACAGCATCTCAGACGAATCTTCAAGTTCCAAGCTTTAAAATAATGTACCACCCTTCTTTTATCCCTAAACATCCACTATCCCCCACCGTCACCCCTTAAAAAAACAATTTTATAGCAACAAGTACTGGTGATGTGCAGGTTACAGAGATAAATATTAAGTTTTAGTAAATAAACACTGGACAAATCATATGATCTCTAATGTTGTTAATTGGTTTGCATATCAGATATATCTCTTGGTGGTTAACACCATACAGAAGTTGTTATTGGAAGATTGGCCAATGCACTTAGAGATCCTATTTACAATAACCATTACTGTTCAAATATGTCAGATTATGGATGTGCTGATCTCTCTGCCTTAACTATGACAGGAAGCTTTACACTTTCCCCCATGGTACAACATGAGAATGAAGACAATTATGGTGTTTTTCTTACCCAGGATTCTAGTTATCTAACTCTGATATATCTGCTTTACCCAAAAATGTAATGACATTTAGTAAGTGCTGCCCAAAGCTTTGAAAACCCACAAGTATCTATCCAGACACAAAGTAACCCCGACTTTATTGTTCATAAAAATATACTTAATATTTATGGTGATGTGTTTGCTGTATGGTTTCTGAACCTTTTGTCTTCTGAAGGAAATGTTCAATTATGAAATGAGTTTTCTGTGTTAAAAAACCTCTTGTTTTGTATTTGGCATTTGCTCAGCAGTGCCGGACAGCATGGACATATCTGTTAGCAAAGTGTGAGTTATTTATTTTGACTTGTATTCACAGTGTCTCCCTTAGGGCAGTAATTTTGAAAATGTCAGTATGCCATGATGTGTGTATGATGCATCACATGCCCCAGCTTAGTCCAAATCCGAAGAGTGGTTTGTTTGTCTGAGATATTTTATGTAGAACACAGACACTTTAACTTTAAAGCCAATACATTCCATTTGAAATTGCTACAATGAACATGTTTTAACTGATTCATTCATTGTAATGTCCATGTGAACAGCTATAAGCAATTCAAACGTCTTCTTGCTGTCTTTCTTATAATTTCACAATGGCCAATGTATTAATTCATAACATTAATTGTCAAATGTGCTACATTTCCTTGATTCAAATTATGCTAAATTAAGATTCATTTTCCAAATCCATGTCTCTGTTGCTCATCACATTAGAGAGTTGACAAGTGTGAGGTTTATCAAGCTGCTACGCTATAATCATGGTAATCAGATGTCAAACAATGACGAAAATATCCTATGAATGTACCACAAAGTAAACATTTTTTTATTACAAATAAATCAATAATATGTGTTAACTTTGAAATATTATCTGCAGAGTGACTTTAAGAATGTTATCATTATTATATACTACGTTTATGGTGTAGTACTGCTGCAGATACTTAAACAGCATTTCAATGTTGTTGATTTTTTAAAATAATTGAGACACTGTTGGGTAGGGTTTTTATGTGTCCAACGTTTTATTTCCTGGTTCCAATAAAATACAGGTAGGTGGAAGTGTATAACAGCAGATTTTCCGGTTTTTATAGGCAGTTTAGTTGATGGGTTATTTGTCTGTGTGCTTTACCTGTGCTCTTACTTTCCTGTCACCTTTGGTCCCACGTATACATCCCTGTGCATCTAATGATCGCCACCAAGTGTCCAAAATAATACTGCACGATATGTCAAAACGAAATAATATGATTTGCCAACATACATGAATAGTAGGCTAATTCAATCTGTACATTTCATAATTCATAAAACTAGCAATTTTCGTTTGAAAATCTTAATCTGCAAACTAACTGTAGCCTTACTAGAAAGAAAAAAAGTAGTGGAGTAAAAAGTGCAATAGAAGTATGAATAAAATATTCATACAATAAATAATTATTTTTAACAAAATACAGTACACATGAGTTTTCTTGACAAAACGTAAGCATGGTTATTCAAGAGCCCATCATTTGGATTTGGACAACAAAACGTGTGTTATAACATTTGAGTTGTAGGTAAAATAAATCACTAAACATATGAATGTGACTTGCTGATCTAAACCATATGGGGGCACTGTTTGGCTTGGCTTGGGGATTTTTAAGGGCGTTCAACTCGGTGTAATTTTGGTTTTCATCATTTAAATGTTAATATTGTTACTGGGTTGCATGTATGTAATGACTCAAAATGTGTTTTAAAAATGGTTGTGTTGTTAATTTGAACTATGTGCATGGGTGTATCGAATCACCTGGGAGCTGTTATCTATATGAACACCACCCTCCCCGGGTCACTGTCAATCACCTGACCGTCTGTGTCAACAGCAGTCAACAGCAGTCAACACAGCCGCCATCGCTCCTGTTAAGCAAGGAAGATTGAAACCAAAGGTAAGGATGTTTATAGTGACAGTGCACTGTGTTACGAATATAGTTAATTTAAAATGTCACTTGTTACTGTAACCGGTTGCTTTAAACATTCATCAGTTTCATTTAGCGCCACCTATTAGCATGTAAAATGTCCTGACCAGTGTGCAGATGACGAGCTAAGCAGCTTGTTAGCTTACAGCTAAACTGCCAGCCTCTGTAGCAAGCAGCGAAAAACAACAGCTGAACCACCTTGCTGCTAGCACGTCTCAACGGTGAGTGGGGAGCTAACGTAGTTTAACGACAACTATCTTGCAAGTGTAACACACTAAACGTCGTGTTATTCTCATTTGCTCACGTTAGCTAGTAGTTATGTTGTAGCTTAACGTTGGGTGCATAACGTGCAAAACAACAGTGATGTTAACGTTCCGAGCATTGCCAGCTATGTGTATAATGCTAGGTTCAAGATTCAAGGCTTTATTGTCATGTGCACATTAGCTACAGTGTAGATATGGCAATACAAAAAGTCACAGGTTAATCTACTACCACAATGTATACGTTTTTCAAATGTCGATGTTTGAAAATCACAGTGTTGGATTGTAACAAAGTACTCAAGTACGCTACTTAAGTACAATGTTGAGGTACTTGCACTTTACCCGAGTATTCTAAGTGTGTGCTACTTTATACTTCTACTCCACTACATTTATTTAACAGCTGTTGGTTAGTATATACTTTTACGTTTTTAGAATAAGCTAATACACAATATTAATCAATGATTAAATGTATAGGTTAAGATATCCAGCAGCAGTATATCAAGTTCTTCAAATTAGCTCAACCTTTACCAGCTGTAATAACACCAACACATCAATAATTATAACCAGTAACTCAATAAATATATATATATATATATATTAGGGCTGTCAGTCGATTAAAAATATTTAATCGCAAATTAATCGCACATTTTTGATCTGTTCTAAATGTGGGAGTGGCTATATACAGGACCGTCCTGTACACAACGCCAAATGACTATATACAGGACCGTCCTGTACACAACGACAAATGACTATATACAGGACCGTCCTGTACACAACCCTCTGAAATGGCTATATACAGGACGGTCCTGTATATAAGGTCTCTGAAATGGCTATATACTAGTGCTGGGGGGAAACGATTATTTTGAAAACGATTAATCGGGCGATTATTTGATCGATTAGTCGACTAATCTAATGATTATTTTTCTGTTGTTCAATTCATAAAAAACGTAATGTAAAAAAAAATTTGCTTGTTGCTTTGGGTGACCCACGTGTGTGTAGCGACGCGTCGATGCGGAAATATGTCGTCGACGATGTCGCTACAGCACTACTATATACAGGACCGTCCTGTATACAAGCTCCGAAATGGCTATATACAGGACCGTCCTGTAAACAGCTCTCTGAAATGGCTATATACAGGACGGTCCTGTATATAGCCATTTCGGAGCTTGTATACAGGACGGTCCTGTATATAGCCATTTCAGAGACCTTATATACAGGACCGTCCTGTATATAGCCATTTCAGGGCTTCTGTGCAGGACCGTCCTGTATATAGCCATTTCAGAGAGCTGTGTACAGGACGGTCCTGTATATAGCCATTTGGCGTTGTGTACAGGACCGTCCTGTATATAGCCTCGGCCTCTAAATGTACCTTAGAGGAATATTTTTCAAGTTTTTAATACTCTTATCAACATATGAGTGGACAAATATGCTTTATGCTAATGTTTATTATCATTTGAACAATGACAAATATTTTCATGAATATTAAACACAACAACCTCTGAACCAATATTCGCCTCAATTCAACTTGGAACCTCTCTCATACAATAATACAATACAAATGGTGTGTGCGTGTGATGGATCGTTGGAGCTATGTGCAACTCAAGGCATATGCTCGAACGGGAGCTGCCTGGACGCTGCAATCATGTTGCGCACACTATCCGTGCTGAGTGTGCTGACTTTTCGTACAATGTCCCACTGTCTGGCTTCCTGCATAAAGTCAAGTGCTCGGCGCAGTTGTGGCGAAATGTTTTCATTTAAACAGCTCCTTGTATCTGTTAGCGCAGCTAGCTAGCACCAGATGCTATTAACAACAATGCACGTAAGGTCTCTCTCTCGCTCGCTCGGGCCACACATACACCCACCCTCCCGGTCCTCCCAATAGCCAGTCGGTGCCTGCCGGTGAGCGTGGAAGTGTGGTCTGCCACAAGCGGGCGGCAGGAGCGGGGCCGTAAGCATCAGCTTGTAGATGGTATTTTAAACTCGATGCGCTCTGAAACTACGGGGCGGCCGAGGAAAAAAAATACACATGCGTTAATCGCGTTAAAATAATTAGTGGCGTTTTTTGTTTGCGTTATTAACACGTTAAATTGACAGCCCTAATATATATATATATATATATATATATATATATATATAATATGTATGATCCTGAAATTATGGAGTACTTTGACTTTTGGTGCTTTAAGTACATTTACTAATACTTTTGTACGTTTTACTTGTAACAATATTTTAAAGTGTAGTATTGCTACTTTTACTTAAGTAAACAATCTGAATACTTCTTCCACCGCTGGTTAATTATCACTCAGCCAAAATCTTACAAGCTAAAGGTATAGACTGAAGCAGGCTAGCCTGTCTCGTTTCCCATCAAAAATTCAAGACGTTAACACTTTTATTTCATGTTGTCACTGACCAAACTGTCTTTTTATTTAATTAGACTGATAATGTATCACAAAGTGCATGGTCATGTGCTCAGGTTAGTTACAGGTCTAGTGGTCCAGTCTTGTGTTACATTCACACTAAGCTTAAACTATTGCGCTCTTAACAATTACACAGCCTTGCATTCTTTGATTAATGTTAAAATGAGGTGAATTTTAATTGGACTCGGCCTCAGAGAGGTGATTATTCAAGAGTGGTCAATATGATTAAGTCTGTGGTTCATGGTCTGGTGGTTGGTTGACCTTGTTGACCTAAATGTAGTGGACACAATTATTAGAAACACCATTCTGAAAGAGGCAACACAGTTCAATAGCACCACAAACCACAGCCTCACTCCACAACAACCCAGCTAGTTGAACCTAACATTATGAGCTTTGTAAAGGTGGGATTCTTGCAGGGTATTTGGTTCCCAAGAGAAATGACATCTGCAGCTAGTTGCATAGAAATGATAAGCAGCAAATGGGGACTCCTCTAAACTAGTAGTTAACCACACCACCACACATTTAATATATATTTGGGTATTTCTCGCATTCTAATTCCAATTTTAATGTTACAGTTATGTTTCCTTCAACATCTCCTATTCTGTTTTTCCAAAGCAAAAGGTTTAAGTGCTTGTTGTGGTTTAAAATGTTTGTCACATGGCCTTCTTTACTGCTGGTCCTTTCAGTTTGACAGACTGCTGGCTTGCTGAGCTATCTTTGACCACAGGTGCTTAACTAATGTCCTTGGACCCATATCATTACCAGGGAGTAACTCATACTGTACCGCTTTATGTGAGAAACTCTCAGCTCTCCCTCTTAGTTCCACTGGTATCTTTTTGCCTATATGTAATACACCATCGGCCCTTAAGGTAACTTAATTAAAACTATTAGAACACAAGTATGTGTTGAGAATATTAAAGGTGGGATAGGTAAGTTTGAGAAACCGGCTCAAGATACACTTGTTGTTATATTCCATGGAATGCTCTTAACATCCCGATAGCAATGAATATCTTAAGTCAGTGGTTCCCAAAGTGGGGGGCGCAGAGGCTTGACAGGAGGGGCGCGAGAGACCAGGAGGAAAAATGGTTATTAAAAAATAAATAAATCATAATTTGAAAAATTATTGATTCGAAAATAATATGATACAGTACTATTACGTCTGGGTCTCTGTGTTTCATTACAGCTGTGTGTGTGTGTGTGTAACGAGCCATTTTGTGTGTGCGAGAGCGTACCGGAGATCGTTGTTGTTAGCTTCTGGTGCTAGCGAGCTACGCTAACGGATATAAGGAGTTTTTTTCAACAACAAAGTGGAGGAGTGTCCTCTCCTGTCAGACTGAGAGGCTCAGTGAACTAAAGGACTCAGTGTTATCTCAGTGGGTCTCAAACGTTTTGGTCACCATTAATGTAAACAATTGTTTCCAAGGCACACGTTTATATGATCATTATAGTTATAAAAAAATAAGAGAATAAATGAAAAACAGTTATGAAATACTATAACGGCCCGTCCACACAGCAGCTTTTGGCGATTTGTCCAGCGCGTCTCCGCCCATTGACTTTGAATGGGGATGACGTCACTTTCCCTCGCTTGTCGCCGAATTGCATTGTGGGGGGGCGAGGCGAAGATTTCCAGGATTTCCAGGATGTTCAGGATTCCAAAGTTGAACAATGTTCAACTTTTGAGGCTGAGCTGGAAGCGACAGCCAATCAGATCCGTTTATGCAAATCTGACAGTTCAAGTGCTAGCCAATCAAACCGCGTGCAAGCTGGGAGAACGAGACCCGCAGTTCATTTCTATATTCCACAAAAATGGAGGAGAACTTAGCTATTGCGGTAGCAAATCACCCGGTTCTTTATGACCAGTCCCTATTTACTTACCGGGATACAAACCGGAGGAACCAGGCATGGGAGGAGGTGGCAGAGGCAGTGGGTGAAACTGGTAGGTTTTCGCTTGTTTGGGGATTTTATATCCAGTTTACTTCGTTGCTAGTTTACTTCGTTGCTAGCAAGCATAGACAGTATCATTAGCCAGCATGGAATGTAGCATAAAATAGCACCATAAACATTAATCTCATAAATGTTCAAAATGTTAAAAAAATAAATGTTCATCATAGCCCTTCCTATTTGACAATAGTGTAGAAGAACCGGGTTTTTTAGCTTTGTATGTCGGGGGCGGGATATTCCTGTGATATTCATGTGATTGGTTGTTGGTCGCGAAATCCCCAAGCTGTCAGACACGCCCAGCTCCAGGATTTTCAAGATTTGGTCAAAGCTGCTGTGTGGACACACCGTAAGACAGTAAAAAAAGAATAAAGTTTAAAAGGGTGATTTGTAAAATATCCATAAAGTAAATCTGTTTACAGTTCTGTTTCATATGGGTGTTGAGAGATGTATCCATAGATCTCTTCATTTTGCTCTCAAAGTGCACCAGATTGATGCTTTTAACTTCAATATTTAAAAATAAATGTAAGGTCCACACACCACCTATAAAAATAGCACTTTACCCCTGCTTACACCTATATGCCGTGAGCTGATTATCGAGCCTTCATTGTAACAGTTGCGGGTACGTTGTGTATTTGCGTGGGGATTGTTGCAGTAGAAAATTCCACTGTAGTGACAGGGGTAGACATTAAGGGTAAAATGCCACTGGCCCTCCGGGCCGGTGGAATTGTATTATCACTGGCCCACCATTGTAACCACTGGCCCGGAGCATTCGTCCACCAAAAAAAAAATCGACTAATAATGAAGAAAATTAACACGTTTGTTGCAATAGTAGCCTAATTTATGCACTAACTACATTACTACTTGTACTACAACATTTGAATCATCAGTTATTCCTCATTTTCCTCAATTGTTCATATTTGGTTTATTAAAATAATGATATTGTGGTCATTGTTAAAAAATGTCTGCTATTATGAGTATTATTATTTGTATAATGCACTTTCTGCCTTCCTGTCATTAAGAGTTAGACATGTAATGGCTATTCTTTCACACACACATACGGGTATTGGGCCGAGGGCGACACCGTACTTCCGGTATCCGCCATTTGACGCGAGGTGCAAGCAGAATATCATAGTCTATTGCCTTAATCAATATCTAGTCAACTCTAAAATACCACATATATGCAATGGCATGATAATATTATTGTGACAAGTGGGGTATTCACCTGGTGTTTCCAGAAATTAGACGTAGATGCAGTCAAAATCGACGAAGGCCACTTTCGAGGGTCGTTTTTCCATACATCTGCAGGCAGTCTGGAAGGGCAATCCGACAATCCACACAGCTCTAGTTTACGCTGGTAACGACCTAGAGCACACCCCTCAAGTCCAGAGATGTAATCCGAAGACATGCAGCGATTTCTTCGGTCGTTAATTCAGAAAAAAAACCTAGTGCGCTCTGCCTGGCTACGTTAGCTAGCTGTTTATATTTGCACTTCCAGGATATTTGCACCTCCAGGAAAATGGCGTATTTATATTGATTTGATATACTTGATTTGATTAGAACCTTCATTATCCTAAACTGCTGGGACATTTCGACAATACCTTTTATATTGTCTACTCTTCACTTACTTGTCAGCATAGGTCGGCATTGATGTACAGAGCCGACAGAAGACCTTGTTTATATTACCATCATATTGAGAGGTGCAGCCAGTGACTCGTCCTAAATCCAGGAAGTAAGCTGCTGGTTCCCTCCACAAAAAGCAATGGGATTTCTCCACAGGGTTTTGGAAAATAGCTGGAAATAAGGTCTGTGGAAAACAAACCTGTTTGATAAATGCACGTTTTGTTCAGCCGGATAATCTCCACAGGTCTACCCTACTTTTATAATTTTCGAACCATAAATCTAATCGATAGATTATAAAAGGGTTTTAGGATGCGTCACTGCACCACTAGAAGCCAACTCCATCGATCAAGCTGGCTGAAACTTTCTCTCCCTCTTCTTCTCATTGCTCCCTGTCACTCTCATTTAACTCCTCCGGTGACTTTCTTTTATTTGAAGATTGTTTTTTGCCCGGCTACCGCTGGTATTAAAAACATTATGGCGAATGGTTAGGTGGCGCGATAGTCTGTAGTGAAGGAGCGCGCTCCCGCTCACAGGAGCCTGCACGCGCTGTGCTCCGCAGCAAACGGCTGTTTGCTGTTCACACGACAACCGACTCACGGAACGCTATGTTATCGCGTTGATAAACGAAACAATTTAACTTTTTTTCTCCAAAGGGGAGGCCTGACAGAAAAAGTTTGGGAACCACTGTCTTAAGTGCTTTGACAATAAAATCCATAACAAAATGTCATCTGTGGAAGCCGTAGTACTGTAAAAAGCACGACCAATAATTGTAGCAGGCCCGGCTAAAATAACTGGATGGCCTACCTGCCTGTCAGCCTTCCATCTGTGCACAAACTTATCTCGTGCCCTCATTGGTCATGTGCGCGTTCGTGTGTGTTGGAGGAGGGGCGCTCTGTAAGGAAGTGGCAGATTTTCTCCGGTTGTGTATTTTCAAATTCTAGCGCACTCGAAGTGGTTTCTCCGAAATTACCTACCCCACCTTTTAATGTGTATTGGAGTTTACAGCTTAATAATAAATTATCTCATAGCTGTTATAGTGCACCTTGCTTGCTGAGAGTCAGAGCTCAGAGTGCTACTGCTTGCTCCATGAAAGTGTCATGTTCATGTGAGAGTTCATAGCCCCAAAGATAGGCACTGTGGCTTTGATGCCAAGTCCAGGAAGCAGCATGATGGCAACTTTACTGTTTACAGACACACTGTCATGTGCGCTCCATCAACAAACATGCTCATACACCGCCCCTTCACCCTTTTTTTACTAGCCAATTCAAGAGGTTGCAGCAGGCCATTTAAAAAAGCAATGCTGCAAGGTATTAACTTTATTGCCCTCTCTCGCGATTGGGTGTGGAGTAAAACATGCATTTATGAATAGGTTTCTGCTTCCTTCCAGCTCACCTCAACTAACCGTGTGATATAACCTGTGGGTTTCTCATGTTTATATCACTACAGGCAATCAGTGATGGACTCCAGGTCTCGCAGACTTCCTTTCTGTCTGCCCAGCTCAAGGTCGTCCTACACATCGAGTCCAACTGTCTCCTCCTCATCACTGTCCTCCAGCAGGTTGTACAGTAGGGACTCTGTGCTCAATAATGACCGCCTTCCAAGAGCCTCATCATCTTACAAGACAGACCTTGACCACCAGGTAGGCTGACTGCACATTATTATTATAATGGAATCATGCATTGTAGTTTCATACACAATGCACACCCACCTCAACATTTACATACAGAATATATAATTTAATATGGACTACACAACCTCATTTGTTGTAGTGCAATAGTCCTGGTGTCCTGTAAATGTGGCTTCTAGTTTCTTATCATATTCACGGTATGCTTATTAAGAGTTGGCCTTTCAGCTGTCATTGTATACAACAGCTTTATACTGGGCATGGGTCTGCGACATCCTGCTGTATCTGTGTTTTGATTATGCTTAGGGTTTGAGTCTACCTTTCAGGTGTATTCCAGAGAGAGAGGGTGTAGGAGTAAGCTCTTTTCTCACAGGTTCCCTCAGGAACATGTTGCGGCAGCTATACAGCATCACCGAGGTGTAACAGCAGACCCTTTGGAGGTTTATTTATAGGGCACCCTAGATTCCTTGGCACACGTTGTGAGTATTTTAGTCCTGCTGCTCGTCAAGGCCCATCTCAAAAGATAGTGTTACTGTTGGCCTGGGCCCGGTCTAGTTCCTGCTCTTTCTAGAATATTCTAAGCTAGTTGCTAAGACCCAGCCAACCGCTCACTGTCCGATCAGCATGTCACCCCCTCTCGTTTCCTTTTTGTCTCAGGCTGTACTATATGACTAATTGAAAATTAGCCAGAATAATAATAAAATAATCCTTGCTCTTTGATGTTCTGCAGTTGCAGGATTATGAAGTAATCCTTCAAGGCTTTTCCTGGAAACAAGCGGCCATTTTTACATTCAGTGTTTCTTGCCAGCACACCAAACTGTGGAATACATATCCTTCCTCATTGAACATTTCAAAAGCCAATCTTCTGAATGATTAAAACCCTAATTCCTGCGTCCAGGTTAGCATCAGCTTGCAGTCGTCTTCGTTCTCAACCTTTGCTCTGAAACGTTTACAAGATGCGATGGGAAACAATTTTACAAGTTAACAATCAGAATGTTGTTCCATAGCAACTACTAAAGTACAAGAGAAGTTAACCCTTTTTTGTATTCCATGTGTGAGTACCTACTAATGCTACATGTTTTACTTTCGCTCCTTTTAAAGAGTTCTCGCCTCCTGAGCTCCTCCAGAGACTACAGCAGCTCTGACAGTCGCTCCAGCAGCTGGAAGTTACCCTCCTCCCTGACGTCCTCCAGCAGATCTTATGAGCGCCCCTGGGCTGAATCCTCTCTCAGCAGCAGGAGCAAACTGGTACTGAAGCTGTGGCAAAATACAGTCTGGGTTACATGTTTTCGAAAACATTTGAGTTTATAGGAATATTGTTGAATCAAACACATTTGAAATGTCTGCCTGCTTTTCCCCAGACTGCTCCTGAGCCCAGGTTGGGGATGCGCTCCAGTCTGTTGAACGTCACTGATGATGGCGATTCTAAAAGGGCAAAACTGTCGTACAGCAACAGAGGACTGTACACGAGAACTCCCAGCACCTCCGTTACAGGATCCACTTATTCCAGCACTGGGCTCAGCAGTGGCAGAGGTACATGATACTAGACTTGTGAAGGTCATGAGAAACGCTGTTACCATAATGTACCCTAAGTTGCTGTTGCCTTATCCTTACACAGGTTATTAAGTGGGTAAAAGAACATTTGGAAAGCTATAATAAATCCTATTTGTTGGTTCTGAAATGATCTGGCTCTTAACGCAAGTGCTACTGGTGGCATTTGTTGTTAATTTGCTACAAAGCAGACACAGTACATTTTATATTGATATAATTAGTCGTTTATGAAAGGGGACACATCCTTTTTAATTACTTTACCTTTGGGACTAGATGCTGCTTGAGTTTGTTGTCATTTCAACTCTAGGATTAGGTTGTAGCAGCTATTTACAAACTCAATACCATTACAGTGAGACCTTGCCATTTCTGGATTCAAATATTATTATAATTCTGATAACTCCCAACAAGAGTGATTTGAAAATGAACTCGGCAGACTTCTAAACAGCTTGTCTCTTCTTTTCCCGGCAGGTACATTAGAGAAGGACACTTATGATTCATCGTGGAGCTCGTGCCGTTTACTCTCACGGTCTTCCTCCTCCAATCCCCTGTCCAGGAGAGAGCTAGAGACCAAGAATGACCCCGTTCTCTCAAGTTTGGCGGAAAGAAGGAACAGGACCTCTGGATTGACTTCCTCATCATGTAGGCACATGTTGTGATGTTCACAACCTCCAAATGTTTTGTGACATATACTCACACTTCTCTTCCCTCATTTCAGATCAAACAGACAGGACCTCCACATATGCGCAGGGAGCTCGGCCTAAAGAGTCTACCTACACCCCCTCCTTCTCTTCCTCCTCCTACTCCTCCTCAGCTCGAGAAAGCACCCTGAATAGCCACCTCTCAGCTTCCTCCCCCTACCGATCTTCCCCTCTGTTGCGCGAAAGCACCAGAACCCCGTCCCGCTTCTTGAGCAGCTCATCCACCCTCCGCTCATCTCAAGAACCAACGAGAAACCCTGTCCCCTCCTCGAACTCCACCTCCTACTCCTCACACACCTCCAGGTTCACGACCCACCTGCCCAGACCAGAGGCCCCGCTCCCTGCCAGGCCGGCCCCGCTCCCTGCCAGACCGGCTCCTGAAGGTGTAGAGTCAGACAGCCGCAGCTCCACCCGACGCCTTCTGTCCCGCCTCTTTTCACGCCGCTCCAGCCAGGACTCTTCCAGCGGTTCCTCCAGTGTCCGCTCACTCGACGATGACAGCCCGTCCACAGGTGGAGAGTCTGTGGACAGTGAGGAGGGGCCCAGGGTGTCCAGTGTGGAGCCTGCAGCTGGAGGCTCAGAGGGGGGCTTGGGGAGAAACCGCAGAGCAGACCTCGCCCCGATCCAGGAAAACAACAATCGCAGCGCACAGGCTCTGTCCAGAACGACGCAGTGGAGAGAGCCTGGTGTGGGCAGTAGTAACACCAGCAGCAGCGGGGGGGGAGGCAGCAGTTACTCCTGGCTCTCCTCCTCCCTCCGCGGCCGCTGCCCTCCCCTCATCTCCCGCCTTAGGAGACATACTCTGGGGCAAAATGCTCACTCTGCTGCCGGCTCGGAAGAAGGCTACAGCCGCCCGCAGCACCTACTGAGAAGGTGGGACAATCTTGAGCACAAAGTAACACAGGAAGATGATGATGATGAGGAGGATGAAGATGATGAGGAGGATGAAGATGACGAGGAGGATGAAGGAGCAGTTGGTTTGGAGGCCTTTAATGCAGGTCGTCCCTACAGACTCGAGGATGAAACGTTACCTGAACTCGAGGACGAAACAATCCTTGAACTCGAGGACACAGCATTCGATGTTCCGCTACACCGTAGAGCGTACGACAACATCTCGTCTCATATGGTAGCTCTGGGAGCTGAGAGCCAGAGGGAGAAACCCATCGCGGATCAGGAGAAGCTGCGAAAGATCAAGGAGAGGTAATGGAGTACTATCTAACTCGTACGCATTTCATCTTGTCCACTTAGAATAGGTATTTCAGTTATATGTCACTGTGGCTAACTGCTGTCTTACTAAGAGCTGGATGATATGAATATAGGTTTGTTTTGTATTTTAATTAAAGTGACACTGCTTTATCAGGCCCTTTTTCTTTTTCCACATTTGCATCATTTGAGGAACAGTTAAGTCCATTTTGCAGACTCTGGGCTTTACATCTCCTTAGTTTGTCAGATATTCCGTAGCTTCTCAAGCTAGGCAAAACAGTCTTGGACCAATGATACATTAGTACTGTGTTTCCATCTCTAAGACAACAGAAAACTATTATCCCAAAAACATCAATGTGTTTTTTAAAATGTACATATTCAGTAATTTAGTTACTGTACTTTTTAAAAGTAAATGTTTTTTATATAATAATAAAACATGGGATTTTTCTAGCGCTTTTCCTAATGCTCAAAGACCCTTTACATCAAATCAGAACGGAAACAGTACAAAGAAAATGGATGTATGTAATAGTTACTGTATCATCAGAAGTACTAATCCCCTTCCTGCGACAGACTGCTGCTGGAAGAGTCTGACGATGAGGAAGGCGACCTGTGCCGAATCTGCCAGATGGGGGAGGAGGCAGCCACCAACCCCCTGATCCAGCCCTGCCGCTGCATCGGCAGTCTGCAGTTCGTCCATCAGGACTGCATCAAGAGGTGGCTCCGCTCCAAAATTGGCTCCGGTAAATACCAACCCCTCACTCCGCTGCAGCTTTAACCAAATCTACGTCTTGTCAACAAAGCTGACATGTTTCTGTTTCTGTTAGGCACAAACCTGGAGGCCATTGCAACCTGTGAGCTCTGCAAGGAGAAGCTGCGTTTGAACATTGACAACTTCGACATTCAGGAGTTATACAAGACACATGTGCAGGTGAGTCACCGTTTTACTTCCTGTGGAGATTTGAATTTCACAATTTACCACAAACAATACATTTCTATTGAAGTAAAACCCGCAAAATGAGAGTAAATTGATGGTATATAAAACAAGAGTTTACTGAAAGCTATTCTCCTTGCTTCACAGTCAGAATATGATGAGTTCATCAGCAGCGGCCTCTACCTGGTGGTGCTGCTGCATTTCTGTGAGCAGAGGTTCTCTGATGTGCTGGGAGCTGTCGATGCAGCTGGGGTGAGAACACACACAAACAAACACACTTACTAGATCCTCCCATAGTTCACTAGCTAGTGCGTGACTACAGTTGATCATATCGTTGTCTGGAAGAACCTCTTCAGACTTCATCCCAGTGTACAGGGATCTTTTACTCCGTCTAAACCAGGGTTGGGAATCCTTTCTGTTTTCATCTTGGAGGTTTTATTAATAATCTTGAGCTCAGCTTATCTTCAGACTGAGCTATGAAATAATCAAACCTCTAAACCTTTTTCAAGCAATACAGTTAAAGATACGCAATTTTTAAAAGTGTGTGTGAACATTTTATTTACAAAAACATTATTAAATAGCTACGTAGCGTCATGTTCAGTTATAATGTTGTCTTTAATATTACAATCCAAATCATGTCCATTACGATCAATACACATAGAACAGCGTTATGATAAAAGGGCATGTATAGAAATTAGATGCAGAGTGTAAAATCATGGAAAATGGTTTAATAAAGGATTTAAAAAGTCGCTCACGCTTATTGACTGCGCTCAAACACACCTCTGAATAAACAGCCGGGCGCAGATTCTACAGAAAATGTTTACTACGTTCAAGTGCTTATAGTAAATAAGTCAAAACTGCCTTAATATAAGATTAGGAAAAAACAGTGTTTAATTACGATCTGATTCCCAATCAGCTTAAGGCTAATGTATACTACATACTGTAGCTTCTTACACATTGAACACAGATGCTGAGGTCAATGGTTTTATACACAATTGGAAAATGTTTAAATAATGAATTGAAGTGGAATACAAATCTTGAAAATAGAAACTGCTTCCTTCTCTCACCCAGTTATTCAGCCTGGTGAGAATCCTTCATGAACACATGGACAATCTTGAAAGTATGTGGATCAATCATTTCTCTTCTATGCTTATTGTTTGTTAAAAAGTGAGATTCCGTTTGTAATAGTCATCAAGGCTGTAGCATACTGTCAATGATTTACTTTGTTTATCCTTATTATTGTGTGACGACAGATTTTGACTTGATGTGTCTGAATTTCAGTTCCTGGGGAAAGTGACGAGGAGCTGCGAGACAACAGACCGTCTATTGAGTTTTCTGACCTGGACGACGGTCTTGAAGAGGAGTACTAATGATGTGAGTGGTGGATTGAGGGTAAAAAAAGAAGTGGGTCACTCCCTGCCATATGGTAGTTCACCCAGTTTTCACACATGCTTTGAATTTGTTATGTTCATCTGAAATGCATCGGCAGCGAGGAAGGCCAAGTGCTCAGAAGATGCCTCGCCTTTGTGGCAGGTGGCTTTTGCAGATATGCAAACTTGATAAATATTTTTGGTTGACACCACTGTATTTCTGTTTGAGTGCACTTTATTCAATTGTAATTAAATAAAATGCAATTTCTTTTCAACCCTTATGCCACAAGTGCTTTAATGTGTGAATGGAAAAGCAGAGGGACAGCGGTGACACGTGTCGGTCTGATGTTGTTGTGATGACAACTTTTGCGAGAAAATATAAAAAGTGGTGATTTTTCCTTTTATCGTCTGTTTTCCTCTGAGAATATGGTTGAAGAAAAAGAAGAACTTAACCCCATGCAAATAAATGTAATCATTGTTGTGTCAGTGTTTTAAATGCTTTATGTATGTACAAATGTAGTTCAATTTTGGAAATAAAGATTTAATGCAAACTGCCATTTATGTTTAGTTTCTCTTTATTATCATAAACGGACTGTTGTCTATAAATGTTGCTGGCACAAGATGGATATTGAGGTGCTTATTGTTAATAAATATCTGTAGAGGACTGAAAACTCCTTTTTTATACTTGTAGTTCAATGTTTTTGATATTAAAGGTCCCATGTCATGGCCATTTCTACTGATCATAATTCCATTTCCATTGTTGAGGTATACTAAAATAGATCTATACTGTGCAATTTTCCAAACTCACATTGATTTCTCATACAGCATCTCTGTAAAGTATGTGTATTCACTCTGTCCTAAACGGCTTGTTGGAGCTCCTGCCCCCTCCCCCCCCCTCCCTGTGAGGAGCAGACAGGGCTTCCGTGTCGGCAATAGAGAGGCGAAGTCCCTCCCCTTCCGGGAGCCTCCATGGGACCCCGGAAGCGGAAAGTTATACATTGAAGTCAATGGAGAGAGAAAGGTTATCTTTTGATCCCGTTTGAATTGTGCCACGAATGACACATATGATGTTTGTCAATTTAAAAGAACATTTTACAAGTCAAAAAAATTAAAATGTGTCGTAAAACTGTGAAGTTACACATTTTTTTGTGTGTTTATGAAAGCGGGGATAAAATGAACCACAATGACTTTTACCTTCTCAACGGCTGGGAAAGGAAACACCTCGCTTTTGGAAGTGCAAGCATTCATGCATTATTAACTGCAAACCCGACGCGAAAGTACTTGCCCCCGTCAGGCAAACTAGGCCGAAGAAGTATGATCGTCTTGGTCTTATTGTTAGCGGGAGACATCCATCTGAATCCGGGCCCGGTGCAGACAAGAAGCCAGTCCTGCAGGCTCGAGGAGCTAGCATCACAATTAGCATCTCTTCCGCTGCAGCAACAACTACGCGACGACAACAGAGACCGTGGAGACAGCGGAGACCGAGGAATTAACGGAGACTTCGAGATTCCCCCGGGGACGCCTCGGCAGACAGACACGCATGAGGCAGTGACGAGAGGAAGAGAACCGAGATCCGAGGGAACAAATATCCGCCATGTTGTTAGCCACCCTGCTAGCATATCAACGGCTAAAGCTACAACGGAGCCTCCCTCCCCCTCCCCCCCCCCCCCCCACCACCCCACCTCTCCAAACACCACGGCAGGCCTCAAGCCGGTTGCTGTAACGGACAAAGACAAATATCTGCAAGCTGACGACATTGTGCATTTAAGCAACAAAAATGGACTACATATTTTTCATCTGAACACTAACAGCCTGAGACACAAACTGGCTGAACTCAGGCAGCTATTCATGAACGGTAAGGCAAGCATATTATGCTTTTCTGAGACCAAATTGGACAATTCCATTACAGATTCAGAGATTGAAATTGAAGATTATCTTGTAGTGAGAAGGGACAGGAACGTGAATGGAGGTGGTGTCTGCATGTACATACATAAAGACACCAATTTCAAAAACCGTACTGACCTGCATCATGAAAATATTGAATCTGTGTGGGTTGCAATTCTTTTTGACAATGCTAAATCTGTAATAGTCGGGACAATCTATAGACCACCGGAACAGAGTGACTTTTATGATACATTAGATGGGTATTTGGCTGATGTGGGGGATGTAGAGACAATTATTATTGGAGACTGGAACACGGATATGCAACGTAAAGACACGTCCGTCTTCAAGTCCTTCAGTAGGATTTGTGATCTGCACGGCTTCAGCCAGCTAATCACCCAACCCACCCGGGTATGTGAAACAACACAAACTACCATTGATCTCATTCTGACCTCTGACAAGTCCAGGATCTCCAGTAAAGGGGTTATAGCATGCGGGTTAAGTGATCATTATATGATATTCTGTACCCGCTAAAACAAAGGGCCGGCTGTCACAAAACAGTCATATCTAGAGACCTCAAACACTACTCTAGCGAGGCCTTTAACCTAGAACTGGAGAGCCTGGACTGGTCAGATGAGCTCAGTGGTACACAAGTTGAAGAAACATGGCTTGGTTTAAAAAACAAATGCTCTGCAATACTCAATGATTTGGCCCCCCTAAGAACAACCAGGGTAAAAAAGTCGCGCTGAGCCGTGGATGCACTCCGGCATACTGACCGCCATGAAAACCAGAGACAAAAAATGCTCTGAGTTTCATAAAAGTCAGTCAATGCTTTCCAAAAGCACGAGCAGTGAACTCCAGGCCCACGTGACTGAACTAAAAATGTAAAGGAAATTACGTAAGCTCCATGATCAAAACTGCCAAAAAGAATTTCATCAATGTCAAAACTGAGGAAAACAAAAATAAACCCTGTGAACTTTGGAAATTACTCAATAACCAGCTTGGCTGCAGTAAAAAACTCAAAACGAGATTTTCTAACTTAAACATAAAGACAGATAACAGGCTCATCACAGACAAACTGGATGTGGCCAAGTACTTGAACATTTTTTTCACAAACATAGCCACAACTCTTGTAAATAAATTACCCTCCCACTCCGGGCTTTTTGGAGTAGATCACATCATGACCTACTACAAAAACCTAGGGGTACGCAAAGATGATTTCAATCTAGCAAGGGTAACAACAGCAGAGGTACTCATTAAACTGAGCGCCCTCCAACCTAACAAGGCCACTGGCCACGACAATATCCCCTCCAAATTCCTCAGAGACACAGCAACCGCCATCTCACCAGTCATAGCTCACATAATTAACCTCTCCATAAAACAGGGAAAAGTACCCAAAGACTTCAAAATTGCAAGAGTAACCCCCCTGCACAAAAAGGGCAGCAAATTGGACCCAGGCAACTACCGCCCTGTTTCTATACTTACCTCCATCTCGAAAGTCATGGAAAAAATAGTATATGAACAGGTCGAAAAGTACCTCTCGGAAAATAAACTAATCTATGAATTTCAATCTGGCTTTAGAACATCCCACTCCACTGACACATGCCTTCTTTATTTGAGCGACCACATCAAACAAGAGGTGGACGAGGGCAAGTACTGCGGCATGGTGATGCTGGACCTACAAAAGGCTTTCGACACTGTCAATCACCCCATTCTGATTGACAAGCTAAAAGCAATTGGTTTTGATAAACTATCGGTGAGCTGGATGCAATCCTACCTGGAGGGGAGAGAACAGATGGTGGAGGTAAACGGTACTCTGTCCCCCCCCCCTCCCAGTGAGCTGTGGTGTTCCACAAGGAAGCATATTAGGTCCGTTACTGTTCCTAATTTATGTAAATGACATGTCATCAGCATGTGACTACAACTTGTTCCTGTTCGCGGACGACTGCTGCTGCTGGTCTCTGACAGGAACAGGTTGCAGGTTGAAAAAAACCCTCAGCTCCGAGCTCGGCAGAATCTGCACCTGGCTCGCCGATAATAAATTATCATTACACCTGGGTAAAACAGAGTCCATTCTCTTCGGTTCGAAACATAATCTCAGCAAATCCGACGACTTCTCAGTTGCAGTGGGTGACATTATTGTCACAAGTAAGAAGGAAATTACATACCTAGGATCTATTCTTGAGGAAAACCTCTCCTGTGACAAAATGGCATCCAATGTAATAAAAAAAGTCAATCAAAGAACTAGATTCCTATACCGGATCTCCTCTCTGGTAAACAAAAACACCCTGAAAACTCTGGCAGGAGCACTCATTCAAGGGTACTATGACTATGCTTGCACGTCATGGTACCATAGCACCTCCAAGGCGCTAAAAATAAAACTTCAAACATCGCAAAATAAACTGGTCAGACTACTGCTTGACCTCTCATCTAGAACCCACCTCACCTCTGCCCACTTTGACAACCTAGGATGGCTTAGAGTAGACGACAGAGTACAGCTACTTGCAATGGGCCTGGTCTACAAGATCCACTACACCTCTATGGTACCCATGTACATGTCAAAATTCTTCCCAAAGGTCAAGGAATACCATGATCATAACACCAGAGGGAGCTCCACAAATCATGTGAAACCCAGATTTGGCACAAAAAAGGGGGAATACACGTTTCGCAATTATGCCACATCAAGGTGGAACGCTCTTCCCACAACTGTAAAGGAAAGTAAAACTATACTTACCTTCAAAACCTCTCTTAAAGAGCACCTTCGGGGGAGAGCATTGCAAAACTGGCCCCGGTAATGGTACAAATCTCAACCTGTCGTTCAATGGACAGCTTCCTCCCCCCCCCCATCTATGTATATACTCGCATTTTAGACTCTGTTACTAACTGTATATCTGTAGACTTGGTATGTCTTAAATGTCCGGTTAGGATGTATTAGAACGAAATCTAAAATGAAAATTGTAAATAAGCAATCTGTATATAAAAAACCACCTGTATGTAAATTGTAAATAAGCCATCTGTATGTCAAATATGTCTTATATGTCTTAAATGATATGATGAATTGGAAATGGGGGACCCTGATGTAAACAAGACGAAAGTCTTTCTCTGGTCTGCATCCCCTTAACAATTGTATGTTTTGAGCTGTACTGTACTGTACCCAATATACAAGCTGTTAATAAACTTTTCAATCAATCAATCAATCAATCAAACCGCTCAGTGAACTACAGGTCTCTGGTCTCGCACAAAACGCGTCACCATCACAAAGACGGCCGTCACGTTAGCAAATTTCACCTGTTTCTTTCAGAATGAGGCGAAAAGTATAAAATGAGGTGAACATCACTACAAGTCTGGGCATGTTGAGAGCTGTACATACACGAAAGGGGAGTTAGTCGGTTCTGTAAGAGCAGCGGGACCGGCTTTACAAGGTTTCGGTGAGTAATATGAGTGCAATGTGTAACGTTAATGTCAGCTAGCTAACATTAGCTAACAAGGTACACTAACGTGATTTGTTTTAGTAACTAGTTTTCTCCTTAAGAAATTCGTGGTCTCTGTGTATGCTGTGGATAACATTAGTGTTCACAAGAACAAGGTACACTCCCGTGTTTTGTTTTAGTTGCTCTTCAGATTGAAGCGGCCAGTTTTATATCGACTATACTGTATGTGTGATCTCCTTTTTCTC